TTTCAAACCCTATCCTTTGAGAGGTGGGAAAAAATGGGCTCATTTTCTCCTGAGTTTCCAGGACTCTACCCACATATCAACCAGAGCAGCTCTGTCTTTACATGTTCAACTCTGGCCTCGAATTTGGTTGGGGGAAAAGGATCTATTGGTAGTAAATATTTGAAAATCACTGTATAAATACATTATATTCCTCGGTCATCAAGTAATATTGACTATATCTAGTTCAGTGTTCCAGGAAAGGTGGGGAAAGTTTTTTCTCCTCTGAGAGAGTAGTTGGGTGGTACCCTCCCAGGTTTGAAGGATAAGAATGGGATTAGTGACAGTCAAATGACTTTCACTGTGATTGGTTGGGTGTTTGTGTGAGACTATAGAGCCACTAATCACTGTCATTCTAAAAGCTGAGAAAAAAAGCAAGAAGAAAAAGAAGATCTGTGTTGTCATGGCAATAGTTTAACATTGTAATAATTAAAGCTTTTCTTAACTGACTAGTTAAACTGTGACTTAGAATATGCACTATTTACTCTCTAATTAGGACACTGGCTTACTAGAACAAAAACGTTACTACTCCAAGTGCTGTTAGAAGGGGCTGTACAGCCACATGAATTATATTCACAGGCATAAAGAAGAAATTACTTATTTAGGGGCAAGGATAGAAGTTTTATTATATTGAAAAGCATGTGTGAGTGTGAAATTATAGAATAAATCTATAAAAAATAAGGAATTAAGTGCTTAGGGATTTTTCTCACAGAAATCAAAGGCTTGTTGCATAACTGAAAGTAATTTTAGTAAGAATATTAGATTAGTCAATAAAATATTCCAAATATCTTAGGAACATTGACTATACAAACTTGATTATATTAGACTCCTTTAATATATTATAACGTATACCACCTGTGTTCTTTTTTTATTCTTTCTTATTTTCATAAATTCTCTCTGACCTTTCCTGACCCTAATTTAAGCTCCTGCTCCTTTATATCTGGGGTAGATTCAGGGTCAAAAGACATTTCACATCATGCTGACTACATTAAAATGGGGTAGAGCTGAAGAAACAGATGACTTCAAGATATGTTAGTAAAGATTTTTACATATATACTCACTTAAAGAAACTAAAATATTGGGTCTTAAATATAGTTTTAATTAGGAGCTAATCCCCTCACCCAAGACAAAGTATTGCTAGGATGTTTTTATACATAGAAATATTTCTTCAATTATAGTCAAATTTTAACATAATCAGTCATGTTCGAATATATGATAGAACATAAATTGCCTTAAAAATTTTACTTGGATACTTACTGTTTTCAAAATATATGTTATTTCTTAGAAAATGTACAATAAGTATAAACTTGATAAAAATTTTGTACACAATGTCTGATAGTTTTATTTAGAAATTAAATAGCCTCATTCCCCTTTAATTCTTGGTAACCAGTCAAAGAAGTTAAAAATATCTCTAAAGTTATATTTCAAGCTATTTCAACCAAGTAAATGTTGGATCTTAGTGTATTACATAATTATGTTATATGTAATGTTTAAGTGGAAAAAGTTACATAAAAACAAATATAAATGTTCTAATATTTTGTATGGTTACTTGGTAGAATGATTAATTTTTTAAGTAACTTAATCAAACAGTATATCTATGAATATGACAATATAGCATAGTAGTCAAGTGTGTGGCCACTAGGCCCAGACTCCCTCAAATTTTAATTTTAGCCCCTCCCTAGCTATGTGACATTGAATAAGTTACTCACCTCTCTGTGCCCCCGTGTCCTCATTTGTAAAATAGGGAACATAATAATAAGTACCTCATAAGGTTACATGAGATTCAAATGAGTCAATAAAGAATTTACACCTGTACCTCCAACAGTATAAGCACTCATTATATTAGCAGTTAAAACGCAAAATTGAAGAGCAATGGCACACTAATTTTTTATTGTGAAAATGTTATAGTGTATATTTGTTTATTTTTTCCTGCCTTTCATTAATTTTTATTTAATTCCAAATCGTCATGGATATTGCTTTTTCCCATTTAATTCTTAATATTCTTTCACACTAATCTGATACTGGAGTATCATTTTTCCTTAAGCCTTCTCTTTTCACTCGTGTAATTCTCTGTGACAGCACATGACAAGCCTCTCATTTCAGTGGCAAAGCTAAGCAGAATGTTGAGAAAGAGATCTTTCAAGAATGCTGCAGTATATTTTCACCTGTGGTACTGTTCCACCACTTTACCAGTCTCAATTGTATCTTAATTTGCAATATATGTACTGAACTATAGTTTCTTTAAAATTTTTTTTGACAAGTCTGTGAATACTACAGTAGTTCCAGGCAGAGTTGCTGATACTCTCACTGCTCATTTTGGTCTTCCTTATCTGTGTAAAATGGGACTATATAAAGACATTGAATTAATTTCAATACAGCCCTAGGCATTTTTATGGTGGTGTTTGACTTATTGTTCAATATTTTAGTTCAATTATAGAAAATAAGCTAATTAAATATAAGAGAATGACTTTAGCAGCACTTCAGATTATAATTCTGATTTTAATAAATTCAATTTTATTTACTTTATTTATTTGTCTATTTATTTATTTATTTATTTGAAATGGAGTCTTGCTCTGTCAGCTCAGCTAGAGTGCAGTGGTGTCATCATAGCTCACAGCAACCTCAAATTCCAGGGGCTCAAGCCATCCTCTTGCCTTAGCCTCTTGAGTAGCTGGGACTACAGGTGTGCACCACCATGCCCAGCTAATTTTTTCTATTTTTAATAGAGACAGTGTCTCGCTCTTGCTCAGGCTGAACTCAAACTCCTGAGCTCAAGCAATTCTCCCACCTCGGCCTCCCAGAGTGCTGGATTACAGGCGTGAGCCACCATGCCTGGCCTCAATTTTATTAATACGCATACTAATAATACTGTATCATGAATATTTAGACCCATAAAGTTATCAAAGAGCCATAGAATGACAGAGAATCACAGAAATTTAGGGTTAGAAAACACTTAACACTTTCTGCCTCAAATGAGTAGACTTGAGGCAGAAATCTTTTTCTTTAACATCTAACCTTTGTTTTACACTTCTAGTTTGGGGCAGTTCGCTACTTCACCATATTGGATAGATCCTAGATATTTTTAAATATTCTCTTATATTAAGCTGAAGTCTACCTCCTGTAACTTCTATAAATTCTTATTCTGTCATGACAGTCCTTCAGGCATTAGAAGGCAGCTTGCCTTAATCCATCTTTGCCCTTTGATCCTCCTGCTTCTTCTCCTTTCTTGAATCTACATCCTCAACTTCTGTAACTGTTTCTCAAATGATATTATGCCTAGGGGTCTCACCTCTAGATGGTCACTATTTTTTTTTTATTCTTCTTTAAGAATCAGACTTCATGTGTGCATCAATAAATAAAATGTTAATTAAGCAATGTCCTCCATACTACTTACTTAGTGCCATAACAAGTGTAGACCTCACCTCACCTGAAGTGAGTGAAGGATTTTGAAGTGAGTGCCCTGACGGTGTGCTGACTAGATAGTCAGTGTAAGAGAGGACTGGAAGAAGGAAAGACAGCTGAAGGCACCTACAGAAAGCAAAGTATACAGTGATAAGGGTCTGGACTGAGTAGCAGTGGAAATGGAGCAGAATGTATAATTATATGATATGTTTCAAAGGAAACGGCAACAGGATTTAGAAAACTAAGTAAATCCCATGGATAAAGGGAAAGTGATTCAAAGCATACTGCATGTTTCCAAGCATGAGTGACTGATAAAAATGTTAGTGCTATTGTCAGAGATTGTGAGAGAGAGAACTGGGTTGAGGGAGCAAAGGGAAGAAAATGATGAATTTGTCTGAATTTGGGGTGAAATTAGGATACCAGTTTAGAAACATTCCTTGGAAATTTAGAGACATGGGACTAGAAGTTTATATAGCTGTGACTTACTAGAAGAACCATCAGATTCAGCAAAAGAATTATGGTCCAAGAACAGTCTGATGGACAGACTGAGGAGAGACAGAACAAAAGACCTGGGACTGATCCTTGAGAGGACATATATAGGTTGGCATAGTTCATACCAGAAAACATGGAGGAAATTTGGGAGACACAGATCTTAATGCAAGCCACATTTAGAAGACATTAGTAAGCTTATATATTTAATATTCTGGAAATGTTGGCTAAATGAATAATGATAATGACTGTAGAAAATTCAGTTTGAATTTTAAAAACTCTTTTATGTTGGCCCCAAATTCTAAAATTCTACAATTTTTTTTTTAGCCTTAGAGTTTTTGAAGCCCACTCCATGTTGCAAAAGGAAAATGTAATCATTTTGGCTGTCAGAACTATATATTTTTTAAAGTAAATATTCATTTAATTATCTTAATCATTAGAAATAGTTAACACATTGTAAGAATATGTGGACTTACAATTTTTACCTTAATACTGTAGTCACTAAAACATGAAATTCATGAGACCCAAATATCTCATGAAAAGAAGCCAGCCATTATGATTTTGTCTATAATGCTTACATCTAGATATACCCAGATGATTGATAGTGTTCATAATTTTTTTGTGGAATATTGAGCTTTGTTGATAATCATGTTTCTCTATAATTGTCTTTGTGTGCTTGTGATTGCATGTACAAAGTTCCAAAAGCTCATAAAAATGGCATTCATGTTTCAGGTGTTTCTAGAATTTTAAGAGACTTTTTCTTTGAATATTACATTTCTTTTTTTTAAAGAAGCTCTTTGTGTGAATGTGTGTGTGTGTGTGTGTGTGTGTGTGTGTGTGTGTGTGT